GAATACATGCCCAATGATTGGAACCTCAGCATCCTGTGTCCCGTGCACAAAAAAGGAGACAAGACGATATTTGCCAACTATAGAGGAATAAGTCTCCTTCCCATCGTATATAAAGTGCTATCCAGCGTACTGGGTGAACGACTGAAGCCAATGGTCAATGACATTATTGGACCATACCAATGTGGCTTCAGACCTGTTTCCAGATTTTCACTCTACGCCAAATCCTGAAAAAAACCCACGAAAACACATCGACGCATTCCACCTATTCGTCGGCTATAAAGCCGCATTCGACAGCCCTATCCGTTCAGTGGTGTAAAAAGCCATGTCTGCGTTTGGCATTCCTGCAAAATTAATACGGCTATGCAGGATAACATTAACAGGCAAAAGATCAGCAGTTAATGTCGGAAAGGACCTCTCGGAGCCCCATAATACCGAACGAGGATTCAGACAAGGTGATAGTTTGTCGTGTGACCTTTTTTTACATCCTGCTGGAAAAGGTCATACGAGACGCAAAGGTGAACAGAAATGGCACTCTCTACACCAAACAACACAAGTTACTCGCCTGCGCCGATGACATCGACATAATGGGTCGAACACTGAGAGCGATAACAGCCACCTTTGAACAAATTGAGAAGGAGTCTGCCAAAGTGGGTTTGGCAGTAAACGACGAGAAGACCAAGCTGATGGTATCAACGCTCAAGACGTCCAGTAGACTCGGACAAACTGTGGAACTTGAGAACTACAGCTTCGAGGTAGTCAACGATTTAATATAACTTGGTACAGCCATAAACAAAACGAATGACATCAGTTTTGACTCAAAAGCAAGGCCACCTCCCGCCAGACCAAACTCACACTTTACAAGACGCTGATACTGTTATATGGATCTGATGCATGGGTACTTACGCAAGCAGATGAGGCAGCTCTTGGAGTGTTTGAGAGAAAAATTCTCCGAAAGATCTATGGGCAGAACCATGAGTTGTACCAGCTATTCTTCGACATTGTTAGACGTATTGAGCTGCAGCGACTACGTTGGCTAGGTCATGTTGTGAGAATGGATGAAGATGCCCCAGCCCAGGAGGCATATAAAAGCGAACCAGCTGATGGTTCACGCAGAAGGGGATGGCCACGAATTAGATGGAAAGACCAAGTGGAAGACAACATTGCCGAATATGGTCTTTCAAATTGGAAAAACTACGCAAAATACCGACGCGCCTGGAAATCATTTTTAAGCTCGGCTTATGGAACGAAAGTTCAGTCACAAGCCAGCTATGTAAGTAAGTAAAGGAACTTTCGTATGAAATTTTCATGTGAAACTTTCACATGCAATTTTTTATATATATTTTTTTAATTTTAATTTTTATATAGAAAATTTGACTGTTATGTAAATATTTTTAGCTTTGTGTAAATATTATTCCTGAAAATTCGTATAAAAAAATTACAGAATTACAAAAACAACAAATGATGATAATATTGACTAAATAAATAAAATCAAAATACTGAGGCTAAAGACTACAAACAAACAAAAACAACATTTGTTAAGACATTAACTCAGTATTTACATTATTAACAATAACACACCTCCACATATGTATGTGTGTGTAATTATTTATTTTGTGTGTATGTATGCGTGTACCTGTGATATTATCCAAAGATTTATTTAATGTGCTGATACGTTTACACAAGCGTTGCAAATAACCCAAAGGAATGTTATAATTGCGATAGAATTCTTGTTGGAATTTTTTACGATCAGCGGGGGAAGATGATGATGACAGAGGGAGTAATGAGAATATGGTGTTGTTGCGTAGTGCAAGGAGTTCCTCCAATATGTGAGAAGGTAAAGGAGATGATGCCATGAAATTATGAAATGAATGAAGATAATGCATCGAATAAGGTTTCTTGTGTTGCTTGTATTTGTGAGCAAATTTTGTGGAATTTTCAAGGATATTTTCTGGCGATCTGGATTTTCGAGATTTCTTCGGGTGATTTTGGTTCAAATTCCTTTCCAACTTAATATCCTGTGAAGTTGGACTTTCCAGGATATTTTGTGGGTTTTGGGTTTTCTTTTGATGGATGTCCTTTTTGTCGGATATATCCTGTGCAGTCTGAAGAGATTTATTGCCAATAGTTTCGCTATCTGCTTTTTGCCCTTGGCCAGGATATGAAGGTCCTTCGGTAGCAAAAATTTCAATATTTTTGTTTAAATGGTCATGGTGTAGGCTTTGACGATTTTTATTATGATTTTTATGTTGATTATTATTTTTAGAGATTTCTTGATGTCCTTGTCCAGGGTATGGAGGTCCATTGGATATTTTTGCATATCCTTCCGTGGTAATAATTTTAATATTTTCATTAACATTTTTTTGATTTCGATTTTGCAGATTCTTCGAATGGCTTTTTATTGGTTTTTGATGTCCTTGTTCAGGATATGCAGGTCCTTCTAAAATTTTCTCATATCCTTCCGTGCTAATATTTTCAATATGATCATTTGAGTGTTCTCCATTTTGGTGTTGATGGCTTTTAGTATGATTTTTAATTTTTTCCTGATATCCTTCTTCAGGATATGCATGACCTTTTGTTATTTTTCCATATCCTTCTGTGATAATTTCAGTATTATCATTGGCATTTTCTTGATCAAGACTGTGGTGGATTTTGTAATAATTTTCGTGTTGATTTCCAATTTCGTCCTGCTGTCCTTCTTCATATCCTTCGAAATAGTTAATTTCAAAATTTCTACTATTTTCGGTAAATACATCAGGAACTGTATTAGTAGATTTATTCTTATTGTTTTCATTATGCATTTTAATTTTTATATTATCCTTGTGTCCATCATCGGTATATACATGTCCTTTTAATATTTGTTCGTATCCTGTCGTAGTAATAATTTCAAAATTTTCACTTGTATTGTCTTGTTCTCGGTTTTGTAGGCCTTTGGTATGATTTGCGTGTTGCTTTTTATTTATTTCCTCATGTCCTTCCTTATATCCTTTGAAAAAATTATTTTCAAAATTTTTATTTTTATCCTTGAAAACATCCATGCCAAGATTCTTGCCAAAATTTTCTGTTTCGTGATGATTTTTAATATTTCCCTCAAGTCCTTTTTCAGTATACATAGATCCTTTGAGTCGAGTATCATATCCTTTCAAATTCAAATTTTTATTATTTCCAATGGAACTTTCTCGATTGAAATTCCCCATACTCTGATCATGATTATCCTTTTTATTTTTAAAATTTTCCTCATGTCCTTTTCCAGGATATGTAGTAGGTCCTTTGAAAAATATTTCTAAATTAAAATGGTCGTTGGAATTTTCTTTATCCGAGTTTTTAGGTCTTTTGTCATAATTTCCATTCTGATTTATATTTTTTAGTATTTCTCCGTGTCCTTCCACAGAATAAAGAGGTTGTTCGGTTGCTGTTTCATATCCTTCCAAATGGATATTTTCATTATTTCTACTGGAATTGACTGTATCTGGAATTTTGAGATTTAGGGCTACGCTTTCATTTTTAATTTTCTCCCTATATCCTTGCTGAGGATGTGCAGGACCTTTGACCTCTGCTTCGTATCCTAACATCTGAATACCTTTTTGATAATTTTCATTTTGAATATTTTTCCCATAATTTTCAGATTTATTTTGAATTTTGCTCTCGTTGCCTGGTCCAGGATATTCATATCCTTCGAACAGTACTTCAGTTTTTCGAACGTTCGTAATTTTTATGTTTTTATTATTTTCCTTTGAATATTCTAGATCTGGATTTTGAAGATTTCCATATTCATTTTTAATATTCTCCTCATGTCCTTTTGCAGGATATGCAGGATTTTTTGTTGATAACTTCATTTTCTTCAAGGCTTTCAATTGGAATATTTTCATTGAAATTTTTAAGGTTTTGAATAAGTTTGGGATAATTTTTGTTTTCATTTTCCAGCTCCCCTACATGTCCTTTTGCAGGATATAAAGGACCTTCGGTTATATTTTCACTAATACTTTCTTTGGAATTTTTTTGATCTGGACTTTGAAGATTTTTGCCATAATTTTCATAGTTATTTTTGATTTCCTCTTCATGTCCTTTTCCAGGATATAAAGGACCTTCAGACGTAGCCTCAATTGTTTTCATCTTTACAATTTGTATAATTTCCTTTGAATTCTCTTGATTTGGGGATTGGAAATTTTTGCCAAAATTTTTGTTCGATTTTTTTAATTTCTTTTCATGTCCTTTTTTGGGATATGAAGGACCTTCGGACACATCTTCAATTCCTTTTATATCCATAATTTTAATATTTTCATTTGAATTCTCTTGTTGTGGATTTTGAATATTTTTGCCATAATTTTCGTATTCATTTGCAATTTTCCCTGCATGTCCTTTTCCAGGATTTTCAGGATCTATATATATGGCTTCATTTTCTTCCTCATTGCTCATTATTTTAATATTTTTAATATTTTCCACGGAATTTTCTTCATTCAGGCCTGGCTGGAAATTCTTTGTAAAATTTATCCTTCCATGAATCCTTGTCAAAGGATTATTAACACTTTGTAATATTGTTGTTGTTGTTGGCATTTCACTTTCATTATTATTGTGATGGTCTTCTTTCATTGGAATTTCCATAATGGCTATTTCTGTGTTTCCTTCCTCATCGTTATCAAAGAATTCCACATTATTATCCAGAATCGGGACGCCATCCTTGCTCACCCCTCCCTTGTTATTAATGGCAAATGTTGCATTTGAAATTCCCATAAAATTGTTGTTGTTAATATCCTTTGTTGCATTGTGCCCGGCATTAGTAGCACCATCTATGTTGTTCGAATGGTCCGGATTTGCAACAGTTGGCTTAGTCGGAATGTGATTAGTTGTAACTTCATTATCATCATCATGAGACTCATCAGTTGCGTTATTATTGTGATTATCCTTTTTGTCATTTGCATTCATAACAACAACACCAAGTTTTTCATTGTAATTTTCATGTTGTTGTTGTTGTTTTGGGAAATTTTCTCCCTCATCACTCTCACTTGTGATAATCGGCTGCGAAGGGTGTTGATGCATTTCATCAACATCATTGTCAATATCGTCATCATCAGCAGCAGCATTGTCAACATCATCATCGGGATGTATGATGTCCTTGTTGCTGCCTGTCCTGCCGCCTTCCTCTTGTAAATCATATTTTTCCAACATGACACACATGATGTGCAGATAGAGTAAAGGATAATCATCATATGTTGGTAAATAACTCTCCTCTTCCACCTCCACCTCCTCCTCATTGCCATGGGAATCTTTAACCTGGATCTGGTGGGGTTTCGTAGCCATCAGTAGTGGTGGAGGTTGTTGCTCATTATTCGCATTATTGTTGTTACTGTTCCTGCTGCTGCTGCTGATGACGACTGGATGGCTGATTAATTTTGGAGTCTCAGCATAAATTATTGCCGTTTTCTCCATGGTGGTTGCGGACTCAAATGGAGGATGCTGAGCTGGCTGATGAGATGAATTGTTGTCGGCGACAAATGAAACCACATCAGCAGGATCTGCTGAATTATCAGTAGTATCCTCATCCTCGAACTGCGGCTCCTCCAGCTCCTCATCACCATAATAATTATAAAAATAGTACGAAGAGTCTTCAGAAGGATATTTTTTGTTGTTTTTGGTTCAGATTATGATGAATTTTTTTTTTGTTTCGGTGAGGGATTAAAGGTGTGGCGAGGAAAACATATACGTAAATGTGTTGGTGTTTGTATGTGTGTTTGTATGTAACAACATTCCATCATCATTATGATAAAGATGAGTGATGTGTAAGATGGTGTGTGTGTGTATTCAAAAGGGGGAAAAAGCATTACGTCCATTGTGATGAAAGTTGTATGTATGTGTATTGTGGTGATAGTAACAATGATGATTGTGATGTGATGAAGATGATGATGCACAAAAGAAAATATGAAAAAAGAAATGAAAGAACAAAAAAGAAAGAAGATAATGAATTAATGATCTGTCAGTTCAGCAGGTGGACAAACAAACAAATGTCTGCTCTCACACACACACAAATACTTACAAAACAGATATAGACACAATACCATAACGAATCACGAATTAATCTTTGTTGTCAAGAGATGTGTAACAATTATTACCAAGAGCCACTCACACAGACAGACAAACAAACAAATAATTGTTGGTTACAAAAGAGGAAGTGGGGGGAAAATATGAAGAAGTGGTTACATTCATCTAAACGGAAAACCGGAAATGTTTACATTTATAACTAGCAAATGAGAATTGTGAGTGGAAAAAAGGATGTAGAAATAGAGAGAAAGAGAGAGAGAGAGAGGGGAAGACACAAAGTAGGAAATTGAAGTAGATTTCCATTTATTTCTTTCTTTTTGGCAGTTCAAAATACACAGATGTTTTTAGAGATTTTGCTTTGAATAATTGTTGGAATATTTAAATGTGTACGGAGAAAAAGTAGAGATTTGGAAATGTGGTATTTAAAGGAGAAATGTGAATAAAGGACTTTGATATAGAATGGAAATTATGAATATTTTTCAGAGAACTATTAAGTGTAGATTTTAATTTCTAAATGTTGTCGGATGTTCTTGCTCAGGATATCCGTTTGTGGTAATAATATCAATATTATTTATACCACCCAGTGGTACAGGGTATTATGTCTTTGAGGATATGATGATATGTTTGTAACTCACAAAAGGAAACGAGATAGACTTATAGTTCCTTTCGAGAATATGCATAGAATCACTTTCTGAGTCGATGTCCATGTCCCTGTTCATCCGTCGTTGATGTTAAATTGTAAACAAAGTACAGGTTGCATTTATAATCCAATTTGGATAAATTTTGGTACAGCTCATTTGTTTGAACCAATGATGTACCCCATTTAGATTGGTGAAAATCGGTTTAGATTTAAATATAGCGTCCACATATTAGGTTGGGGAAGGAGAAATTCACTATGAAAATGTTGATAAAATCGGAGAAATGATCGAAGTTGACCGGCAAGTTAGCAGTCGTAACATCGACCAGTAGTCAAAAAATTGACAATAAAACAGTTTACAAAAAGCTGGATTCAAAAAGAAGCTCGATGTTTGGGTGCCACACCAATTAACAGAAAAAGTCGGACGGAGCCGACTATATGATACCCTTCACCACTATGGGTATATTAAACAGGACTATTAACATGAAATTGGATGAAATAAAATATGTGATATTTATCTAAATGTGAATCTGCCTAGATCTATCCATAAAGTATGTAAATCGACTTCAAACAAATATAAATAGGTCATCCGTTGGGCTATGTCTTTTACAAAACGCAACTACGTAATTCTATGCTCAATTTTGTAAGTAGTGCAAAATTGTATGTCAATCTGACTAATATGAGGAGTTAGATGCCCAATTTACTTGTAATCGGCCGAAAATATATATGGAAGCTCTATCCAAATATTAAGCGATTTCAAACAAACTTGTCACAGGTTAGGTTATACTAATTTCAGAACGTTTTGTTCCTATCAGCCTATTGGTTCCTGGGTTCGTCAATTACTTAAAATCAATCTATAATAAAAAAAAGCTATATCTAAATCTTGGCAGATTTTCACAAAACAAGGCAGACATCACTCTAGTCTCAATTCAGCACGTTATGCCAAATTTCGTGCAAATCGAAGGATATATAGGGACTTTGGTGCATCATTTACATGAAATCGGACGAAACTATATATGGGAGCTATGTCTAAATCTCGACCGATTTTCAGGAAACTGGGCAGACATCATTCTTGACCTAAATGATTAGGCTGTACCAAATTTCGTGAAAATCGAAAGATATATAGGAACCGTTTACATTAAATCGGTTAAATATATATATGGGAGCTATATCTAAATCTGAACTGATTTTTCCCAATTTCAATAGGGTTCGTCCTTGGGCCAAATAAGTGACATATGCCAAATTTCATCCAATTCGGATCATAAATGCGACCTGTACTTTGTTTACAATTTAACATGGACAGACAGACGGACGGACATGCATAAATCGACTTAGAAAGTGATTCTATGCATATTCTCAAAAGGAACCATGTGTCTATCTCGTTTCCTTTTGCCTGTTACAAACATATGCACAAAGCCATAATACCCTGTACCACAGTGTGGTGAAGGGTATAAAAAATAGGATGGATCGAATTTCCATCTGCGAAGCCTTGGCCAAGCGGAATGAGATAGACCCATTTCTTAAACGGATGGTGACTGGAGATGAGAAATGGATCATATACGATAGCCCTGTGCTAAAAAGATCGTGTTCAAAGAGCGGTGATTCACCTCAAACGGTGGTCAAACCAGGACTAACGGCCAGGAAGGTTCTGCTATGCATTTGGTGGGACTGGAAGGGGATTATTTAATATGAGTTGTTTCTCAACCGTCAACAGCTGGACCGTTTGAATATAGCAATTGACCAGAAACGACCAGAATTGGCCAGCAGAAGAGGTGTCGTGTTCCTTGGTAGGGAAGTTTTAATGCATCTGACATACCGTCCGGACTTGGCACCAAGCGATTATCATTGCATAACAGTGCATTGCAAAATTTCTTTAATGATGAAAAATTGATATCTAGGGAGGATTGTGAATATCGACTACTAGAGTTTTTTTTTGCAAATAGAGGGCAGGACTTCTGAGAGAGAGGCATTATGAAGTTATCGGACATTCCGAATCATGCTAAATAAAGTTCTATAGTTCATATGAAAATAATGCATTTCATTTTCCCCAACCTAATATATTTTCTTATTAATTTCTCTTTCGAGATGAGCTACATTATCGAGGTTGCAATGAAAAGGAAAGTCGGAGAGATACTACATTCCCAACATTATGCGACGCGTTTCGCCGTTGGTTAAGCGGCTCATCAGGTATATTGGGCAATGTGGCTTACAAATGTCGTTTCTTGATAAGTTGTATTTATGTCGAATATTGTTGTGAAATTGCATCTACCAATTAAATTCAACCGTCTCAAGGTTCGGACATTTGGCATCACACCAGTACATTCCTTTTCAGATCAGATTTGTCTACTTGTAGTGATGGACTTATACATACAGACTACACTATTTTACTTCAATACTATACGACTGCATATTGTGCAACCATGGGAAGATAAGGAGGTGGCTTTGAACGCTAAGGGGCCGGACAACAATCAACAGATGCCATGGGAACCAGGGTTCAAATCCCACGAAATTTGACATAGCCTATTAAATTGAGTATAGAATCATGTGTGTTGAGTTTCTATAGAAAAAAAAAAATTCTATAGAAAAAATTCGTCTGGCCCGCTGAGGATTATTTTTCTATAGAAAAAAATCGTCTGGCAGCCCAGTGAAAAAAATGCATCTGGTCCCCCAGAGGATTCTTTTTACTATAGAAAAAAATTCGTCTGGCTCTCAGAGGAGATCTTTGGCGAATTTGGCCACCGAAGTCACAGTAATTAGGCGCTTCTTCACAGAAAATCTTTAATATAGGACCATATTTCTATAAAAAAGTAATTTTATATAAAAGTAGACCCCAATAAGAATGCCACACATCGGTATATTCGAGGTCGACGTCGTTTTCGGTTTTTTTTACTTCTTATTTTTTATATACATTTTTTATTATTAAAGAATATAAAGATTTTAATTGAATTAAAAACTGGATAGTTCCAAATATACTTCTATAAAACATTTTTAGAACGGTTTAATATAAACACATATGCCGCATAAAATTTTATGAAGGGTCGATAACTCCTTTGATAATTTTTTGCATCCCAATTTCAAAGTTTTCAAATATTATTTCAATCTATTCACCACCTAAGTATTTTATATTTATACTCCTTTCAGCTTAACGTCCGCTTAATATCAAAATTACACAACCACAACAACAACGTCGAGTGGTGACCCACATTCAACCATTAAAATACTTTTAATTAATTAATTAAAATTGCAGAAAACAGGCTCTGCTACTTATAATAGACAAAAATTACAAAACTTTGTTGTTGACTAAATTAATTAAAATAAATTATATTATATTAGATATAAAATAAATATAAAACAAAACAAAAGCATTTCCATGTAAAAATAATTTTCAAAACAAAAAAATGGAATGGAATTATAGTTCATGGAGAAAAGTTACCGGAAATGTGGGAGGAATGTTAATGAAGAAGAGAAATAAAATTTACCAACACCATAGAACAAAAAAGTAAAAAAGAAACTAAAAACAAAAATAATAAAATAAAAAAAAAATTAAAACAAAAAACTAAAACAAATGAACTTGAAGGGCATAAAAGACCACAAATGAAAAAAAAACAACAACAAATATATAGGGAATAAGAGTGAAGGAGTGAGAGAGAGAGTAAGTAAGAGTTTTGGAAAAATTCGAATAAATTTTTAATGTGATTGTCAGTTAAATGTTCGTGACATTTGCAAACTTTATTATTATTCAACTGCAATGCCAATTTATTTTTATGTGTGTGAATGTTTTTATTTTTTGCTGTTTTGAGGAAAATGTTAAAAAAAGTGAAGACCACCACCACCACTACGACTGACAAAACAACAAAGGTTAAAAAACAAAGTTTCATTTTGCATACCATCTAAAATGTCAGCTCCTGCAACTTGCTGAGGTAGTTTGAGATCAGGGTATGATTCTGGCGAAGATGTGGTTAAATTAAAGTTCATCTTTGGTTTACTTGTGGTGGTTGTTTTATATCTAGCTGTAGTTGTAGTTGTATGCACACAACACATACAGTGATAGGATAAGAACAACATTATGAACCACAAGGTGATCGGATCACACCCAGAGAAAAAAGATCACATGATGAACATTTAACACAAAGAAATAAATAAAGAAACAAATTAATAAATAATAAATAAAAATTAAAAAAAATAATTGGAGTGCAACAAAAAATAAATAAAAAATTGCCAATCGAGAAAAAAAAATTATATTAAAAATAAAATTACTTTTAATTAAAAAATATGAAAATATTTTTAATTACAAAAAATGTAATTTAAATATAAAAATATTTTTAATTTAAAAAAATAAAATTATTTTTAATTAAAAAATAAAAATATTCCTAATTAAAAAAAAAATAAAATTATTTTTAATTTAAAAAAATATAATATATATAAAATTATTTTTATTTAAAAAAATAAAAATAAAATTATTTTTATTAAAAAAAATAAAAATAAAATTATTTTTAATTAAAAAATATTTGTTTTAATTGCAAAAAAAAAAAAATAAAAATATTTTTAATTTAAAAAATTAAATTATTTTTAATTAAAAAATAAAAATATTTTTAATTCAAAAAAAAAAATAAAATTATTTTTAATTAAAAGAATAACAATATTTTTATGTTTAAAATTAATATATATATATTTTTTAAAATTAATTAATTTATTTTTCTAAATAAAAAATATTTTATTAATTATAAAAAATAAATTATTTCTTATAATTAATTTTTTCCAATTAAAAAAAAAATAAATAAAAATAATTTTTCAATGAAAATTGGTGGATTTTGTTTAATTTTCTTTATAAGCAATGTGCATTGTTTTCCAATGAATTGTTTGTACTTACGATCTTCAACACACATCAGCCTATCTTCCATAAGCTTCAGGCCCGTGGGACAGGCACACGAGATGCGTGGACTGCGTTCATTAATTCGCGGCGCCGGCAGACACAAATGTGAACAATGGCCATTGACAGCTTGACAGTGATTGACACCGTCGGGTTGGCGATATGGATGATAGACATGGATTACCATGGGATGTTGTAGCTGTAGCAAAGGAAAAACAAAACAGAGAAATAAAAAATGAAGGACATTGTTAAAGAATATTTATTTAAGGGGTGAATTTTTTTTCAGGTTCTATAAAAGCATAGAGTTTAAAAAAATATTTTTTCTTTAATCGTATGGGTCTTTTATGGACTTTTCTTGGATCTTTAATTGGATTCTTCCAGATTTTTTTGGATTTGGATTTTTTTTATATTCTTCACCACTCTGTGATACAGGGTATTATGTCTCAGTGCATATGTTTGTAATAGGCAAAAGGAAACGAGATAGACACATGGTTCCTTTTGAGAATATGCATAGAATCACTTTCTGAGTCGATTTCTGCATATCCGTCTGTTCGTCTGTCCATGTTAAATTGTAAAGAAAGTACAGGTTGCATTAATCATCCGAATTTGATGAAAATTTGCATAGGTCATTTATTTCGCCAAAGGACGAACCTTTTTGAAATTGGGAAATATCGGTTCAGATTTAGATATAGATCTCATATATATTTTCGAACGATTTAATGTAAATGTTGCACCAAAGCCCCTATATATCTTTCAATTTGCACGAAATTTTGCACAGCCTAATGATTTAGGTCTAGAATGATGTGTGTTAAGTTTTCCAAATTTCATTTTATAGTCCTTTAAAATTTAGACGTCTGTTAGGATTCATCTGTTAAATATAACCGAAGTGGTGAAGGGTATCATATAGTCGGCCCCGTCCGACTTTACTACTTTCCTTACTGGTTTTAATGTCTCTCCTTTCTATGATAAATGTGGAGTTTTTCAATTAATATTTTCCAAAGCCCTTAATAGACATGCATTAAAAAACGGATCCTTGATAGAAGGGATTTTTTAAATAATATTTTTAGGCCTTTGATAGACGTGGATTTTTTTTTAAATATTTTCCCGGGTCCTTAATGAGCGAGACTTTTCTAATCATATTTTTCCTTGGTCCATTATAAAAGTTGAATTAAAAAAAAATATTTTTTTTTACATATTTTCACGGTCTTTGATAAGAGTGACATTTAAAACCAGTTAGGAAAGTAGTAAAGTCGGACGGGGCCGACTATATGATACCCTTCACCACTTTGGGTATATTTAACAAATGAATCCTAACAGACGTCGCATTTTAAAGGACCAGGAAATGAATTTGGTTTCATAAACATGTCATTCTGCAACCGATACTATATTTTTCATTTGGTCAGATATAGAAGCTATATCTAAACCTGCACCGATTTTCAGGAAACTGAACACACATCATTTTAGACCTTATTCATTACGTTGTGCAAAATTTCGTGCAAATCGAAAGACATGAAGGGACTTTGGTGCACCTTTTTCATTAAATCGGACGAAAATATATATGGGAGCTATATATAAATCTGAACCGATGTTTAGGAAACATAACACACACCATTCTAGACCTAATTCATTACGCTGTGCCAAATTTCGTGGAAATCGAAAGATATATAGGGACTTTGGTGTGCCATTTACATTAAATCGGACCAAAATATATATGGGAGCTATATCTAAATCTGAACCGATTTTCAGGAATCTTAACACACATCATTTAAGACCTAATTCATTACGCTGTGCCAAATTTCGTGCAAATCGAAAGGCATTAAGGGATTTTTCATTAAATCGGGCGAAAATATATATGGGAGCTACATATAAATCTGAACCGATTTTTAGGAAACTTAACACACACCATTCTAGACCTAATTCATTACGCTGTGCCAAATTTCGTGGAAATCGAAAGATATATAGGGACTTTGGTGGACCATTTACATTAAATCGGACGTAAATATATATAGGAGCTATATCTAAATCTGAACCGATTTTCAAGAAATTTGACACACATCATTCTATACCTAATTCATTACGCTGTGCCAAATTTCGTACAAATCGAGAGATATATAGGGACTTTGGTGCACCATTTATCTAAATCTTAACCGATTTTTCCCAATTTCAATAGGGTTCGTCCTTGGGTCAAATAAGTGACCTATGCCAAATTTCATACTTGTCTAAATATAAATAAAATATTGTTTCTGGCTCTACTTAACGTATTCCTCACATTATATATACTTTTTTTAGAGCACTAGAACCTGAGCTGAGCTACAAATCCATGTTTCTACAATTTTTTTAATCAGAGTGTCGGTAGTTTGATATTTCGTTTTCCCTTGGCCTCAATTTTCCATCACATATATGTGTGATGGAAAATTGAGGCCTGAACGATTTTTACATATTTTTGGAGTCTCCACCATATATGGAGGGTGGAATGACATTTTTAGTTGTTTTGCATATATTTTTTCTCACTTACATTGAGCCCAAAATTCCACCCAACAAATAATTTCTTATCTTCGAAAATGTTTCAGTTTTCTTATCAGCATTTTTTTGTTTTATTTCCAACGACTTTATAATTCCCCTCTAATTACTTCGAAAGTGCTTCGTATGGGTCACAAAAATGTTCTTATCAGTATCGACTGTTTGAAACGCCGACGCCATAGACGTCTGGGAATAAAATGCGACGTCAAATAATTAAAACAAAAACAATAAATAAAAAAATATGTTTTTTTTAATTTGGTCACAGAAAATCTCTAAGGGACTTGAACATGTGGAACCATTCTAATTTTATATGCGGCACTAACAAATTTGAACTTGCGGTAGGTCACTAATCTTTAGAAAATTCAGAATATCATAGATCTTTATGGGTGTCGTTCCAATAGGAGATTTCAGAGTATTAAGAAAGATTTTGAATTTACTGAAGAACTCAAAAAGATATTCTGTCATTAGACAATTACAAAAAGGTTATTTATCTATAGTATAGACTAGGTAGGGTTTTTTATATAAAATAGATCTTCTATCAGCGGAAGAACTCAGGAACGTTTTATAGGAATGTTTAAAAAGATATTATATTTATAGAGATCGCTGCGAAGATTTAAATCTATAAAATACCTTTGGATGTTCTTATAGCCGCAGAAAACCTCTGTAGATTATTCTCTTTATAAAAAAATCGGGATCAGAAATATGTTCTCTATATTTATAAACGATTTCAGGCAGGTCTACCTAAATCTATAAAAGATCTCAGCAAGGTATAAATATGGTATTTTGTTTATAAACGTCCTCTGGAACTCACGAAGGGTTTATGAATAATTCTATGGTCTTCTAAAAACATAGATTGTCAGGAAGATCTTTAACTATAGACTGCCTCAGAAAGGTTTTGATCTGACTCTAGATTTCAAATATTTCTGTTCTGTCTGTGTGCTTATACCCTTCATCACACTGTGGTACAGGGCATTATGACTTTGTGCATATTTTTGTAACCGGTAAAAGAAAACGAGATAGACCCATAGTTTCAATTGAGAATATGGATATAATCAATTTCTGAGTCGATTTTTGCATGTCCGTCCGTCTGTCCGTCTGTTGGTGTTAAATTGTAAACAAAGTACATCCAATTTGGATGAAATTTGGTGCAGCTCATTTGTTTGGCCCAAGAACGAACCCTATTGAAATCGTTGAAAATCGGTTCAGATTTGGATATAGCTCCCATATATATTTTCGGCCGATTTTACATAAATGATGCACGAAAGTCCATATATATCGTACTGAATTAAGTCTAGAATGATGCGAGAAAGCCCCTATATATCTTTCGATTTGCACGAAATTTTGCACGGCCTAATAATTTAGGTCTGGAATGATGTGTGTTAAGTTTCGTGAAAATCGGTTCAGATTTAGATATAGCTCCCATATATATATATATATATATTGTGGTCCGATTTAAGGTAAATTGTGCACCAAAGTCAATCTATATCTTTCGATTTGCATGAAAGTGGGCATAGCGTAATGTATTAGGTCTATAATGATATGTATCAAGTTTCCTGAAAATCGGTCCAGATTTAGATATAGCTCCCATATATATTTTTGCCCGATTTAATGTAAGTGGTGCAGCAAAGACCCTACATATCTTTCGATTTGCACGAAATTTTGCACAGCCTAATGATTTAGGTATATAATGATGTGTGTTAAGTTTCCCGGAAATCGGTCCAGATTTAGATATAGCTCCCATATAGATTTTCGTCCGATTTAAGGTACATGGTGCCCCAAAGTCCCTATATATCTTTCGATTTGTACGAAATTTTGCACAACCTAATGATTTAGGTCTACAATGATGTGTGTCAAGTTTCCCGGAAATCGGTTCAGATTTAGATATAGCTCCCATATAGATTTTCGTCCGATTTAAGGTAAGTGGTGCAGCAAAGACCCTACATATCTTTCGATTTGTACGAAATTTTGCACAGCCTAAGGATTTAGGTCTAGAATGATGTGTGTTAAGTTTCGTGAAAATCGGTTCAGATTTAGATATAGCTCCCATATATATATTGTGGTCCGATTTAAGGTAAATTGTGCACCAAAGTCAATCTATATCTTTCGATTTGCATGAAAGTGGGCATAGCGTAATGTATTAGGTCTAGAATGAAATGTGTTAAGTTTCCTGAAAATCGGTTCAGATTTAGATATAGCTCGCATATATATTTTCGCCCGATTTAATGTAAGTGGTGCAGCAAAGTCCTTATATATCTTTCGATTTGCACGAAATTTTGCACAGCCTAATGATTTAGGTCTACAATGATGTGTGTTAAGTTTCCCGGAAATCGGTCCAGATTTAGATATAGCTCCCATATAGATTTTCGTACGATTTAAAGTAAATGGTGCCCCAAAGTCCCTATATATTTTTCGATTTGTACGAAATGTTGCACAGCCTAATGATTTAGGTCTATAATGATGTGTGTTAAGTTTCCCGGAAATCGGTCCAGATTTAGATATAGCTTCCATATAGATTTTCGTCCGATTTAAGGTACATGGTGCCCCAAAGTCCCTATATATCTTTCGATTTGTACGAAATTTTGCACAGCCTAATGATTTAGGTCTACAATGATGTGTGTCAAGTTTCCCGGAAATCGGTTCAGATTTAGATATAGCTCCCATATAGATTTTCGTCCGACT